TCATGTAAACGCTGTTGGTAGTGGAGTGAGTGTATGGATACCTCTGAATATTAATGAGCTCATGAATATTAATTAGTGACCGGCACTCAAATCAAGCTGGGCAGAACCCTGGTGTACACTGACTGTTCATTTTATCTTCACTGTCATGTAAACAGCCTTGGTAGTGGAGTGAGTGTATGGATACCTCTGGTACACATACACTTCTAAATACAGAATGGTGTACACTGACTTTTCATTTCATCTTGACCGTTACGATGCATACTTTAATGGGAAATGACATATAACATTTTAATCAGAGGCCTTTAGGCTTAGTTTTGAAGATAATGATGTATTCGAAAATTTGCCCAGTGGAACAAGTAATTTCTTGTTTTACTGTAATTAAGGTTGACTTGTCAAAACTGGATTTCAATAAAAGGGCCCCCTTTGGAGATTGGACTTAACCATCTTTTGGCCATTTTTTTTTCACTTGTTGGTGAATTACAGTAAAACATCAGTATATAGCTTATATGCTATGGTTATAATATCAACATTGTGGTGATGGCCATTACAAATTTGGCAGCTTTAAATTGTTTCATGTTTATCAATAAAAATGTTTATTTTGCTTACCCAAACCAGTGTATAAAAAAGTATTTCCTATTGGTATTACTCTGGCTGTGCCTTTTTTATGATGTAAACATTTTTGTTTCAGTGGTTAATCACTTCTGAATTTATGAAAAAATTAGTGTAAGTCAATATTCTACTGGATTTCATCCCTAATTTGCACTGCAACACTTCCCACAATGCATGTTGTATACATTTTGTTAGTACATTCTGCAGTTTCTAAAGCACACACTAATTAATGAACATATAAGACAATAAATGTGTTTATTTTTTTACATAATAGTTGTTCAGTAATTGTAATGATCTGTATGTGACTCAATTTTGTATTACATATATATAATTATTTATATTATTTTGTTGTTTAGATGCCGAGAAAAAAGAATTGGAGAAGAAAAGAAGCAATGAAGAAAAGAGCAGCTCTGGGCATCGTCCCACCTGCTTCGAGCATTGTCCCACCAACTTTGGGCATCGTCCCACCAACTTTGGGCATCGTCCCACCAACTTTGGGCATCGTCCCATCAACCCTGGGCATCGTCCCGCCAACTTTGGGCATCGTCCCAACAGACTTGGGCATCGACCCAACAGATACGGGCATTGTCCCACCAGACTTGGACATTGATCCAACAGATATGGGCATCGTCCCAGCAACTTTGGGCATTGTCCCACCTATTTTGGGCACCGACCCACCAGATATGGGCATAGTCCTTCCAATCAATGAAATGAATGACATCCTTCGGGAACAAAGTAATAGAACAAATGAAGCAAGACAGAATAAAACTGTGATAGTAAACATAACAAGGGAATCATTTGAGAATGAAATTATCAATTGTTACAAGACAACAGGTAATAAAATAAATGCTCTAGTTTCAGTTCAAGGTAGTTTTAATCAAGGTCACCCTCAGTTTCTATACAACAGTGGACGGCAATGTGTTGCAAACAGTTTAGTATCTATACTCTATAGTAAGATAAAACTTGTGTTTTCATGGGATACGTTTGATCTCGATACCATATTGCGAACAGGAAATGAATTGTATGGATTTTTGCAACAATCCTCAACATGTAATGATGCATACCTTTTAGTGACTGAATTACCAGAAATAATAGAGTTATTTGACTTAAGATTTGCATTGAATATTGCAGAATCTTTATCAGGTATTATAGGAAAAAGTGGTGATTTTAATGCCCCTCTCATGGCATTTAATGTTGCACTTGAAATAACCTTAAGAGATCATGATGCTTGTATTGTTATTTTTGGAGGTGCAGCATTTTCTGTATTGAAGAATGGTGACACATACTGGATTTTTGATCCTCATGCAAGGGATTCCAAGGGAATGGTGGAACCAGATGGAAAGAGTGTACTATTACAATGCAGGAATGTTGAGGTAGTGTATGAGCATTGTTGTAATCTTGCAGTATCCATGCATGTTAGCGCAAACACTCAGTTTGAAGTTACTGGTATAAGTGCTAATGTTGAGGAGTATATGGAATGTCAGTCTGAAGATGAAGTGTTAGTTGTTAGTACTGATCATATTCCATTGTTGTTTTCTCCTTTGAGTTTAGAACTGTGTGAAAGTTTGTGCTTTCAACTCGGTATTAAAAATATTAGAAAGACAGAAGTTGTATATAGTGATCAGTGTAATGAAATTGGTGAGCCATGTAGAAGT